GTGGGCCTCCACAGGATTTTAGACTTGTGCAATACATTGGACTATGCCGGGTGACTCAATGGATGAATCTTGGTTTTGACAATGGGACATTCCAGAGCTGGTCCAGGCTACACTGCAAGCAATTTAGTGCTGGTGACCCAGCTGATCCAATGAGGACCGAAGGGGCTCTGGACAGCTCAGATATAATCAGGCATCTGTGGCAGGCTATGATGGAAAAAACAAAGTCATAATCCGAGGATTCTAGGGGAAGTCAAGACCTCTCAGCCAATAACAAACCTTTAGAGAACCAAGCCTTGGGTTGCTGTGCTTCCAGCCAGCATGACATAGCAATTGAGAACTTAGGCTGGCCCTGGGCTGCCTGGGTTTGAATCTCATCTCTATTACTTAATAGTGAGGCTCTAGTCCAGGGGTGTCCAGTCTTTTGGCTTACCTGAGCTACTTTGGAAGAAGAAGGATTGCCTTAGACCACACATAAAATACGCTAACACTAATGATAGCTAATGAGCTAAAAACAAAACAAAACAAAACAAAAAACAAACAAACAAACAAAAAAACCTCAAAAAAACTCAGAATGTCTTAAGAAAGTTTGCAAGTTTGTGTTAGGCTGCATTCGAAGCTGTCCTGGACCACAGACAGCCTGCAGGCTGCATGCTGGACAAGCTCACTGTAGACCATAGCCTATCTTTCCTTTGCTTCAGTTCCTCTTCTGTGAAATTGGCTTACTAGTAGAGGCTAGTTGGGAGGTTTAATGTGTAATGCATGAAAAGGGCTTAACATGATGTCTGGCATGTGCCTAATAATACAGGTTGAGGCCAGGCGCAGTGGCTCATGCCTGTAATCCCAGCACTTTGGGAGGCTGAGGCAGGTGGATTGCCTGAGGTCATGAGTTCAAGACCAACCTGACCAATAACCCCGTGATTCAATTATCTCCCACTGTGTCCCTCCCACAACACATGGGAATTACAGGAGCTATGGTTCAAGATGAGATTTGGGTGGGGATGCAGCCAAACCTTATCAGGCTCTCAGCAAAAGAGAGCCATGGTGAAGATTAATAATTCTCCTCCCATATCATTCAGACTTAATCCCCTTTAATAATAGAAGTTTTCTGAGGTTCAGCAAGATACATGGTCACCCAATCCTAAAATATATTTCCTCTCCTACCCTACAGCTTGCATGGCCCTGTAACCAAGCTCTGACCAATGGGATGTGAGTAAACATAAAGTATGTAACATCCTAAAACAGAAACTGCATGCTTTCTACTTCCTCTTTCTCCGTTCTAGTGGCTAGAGAATCATGATAAATGGCAGAGTCACCCTGGAGTTCATATGTTGTGGATGGCAGAATCACCTCACCAGCTCTGGACTGCTCACTTCTGGAGCATTACATGAGAAATAAACTTATAAAAACACAATATTTGTGTTAGGAAGTGGGGGTCCTTTTGTTTCAGCAGCTTATCTTACACCCTAACTGTATCAAAACATGAGACCTTAACTTAGAGATACCTGGTTTGAGAGGTGAGTGAGGGAAAACTCAGTTTTACTAAATGTGACGTTCTTCTCCAATCCAACTTAACAGAGAGTCCCATTATTTTAAGTGTGGCCAGGTTAATAAAGGCAATTTTTCCTCTCCTTCAGCTGAAGCTAATACAAGGGACACAGCAAAGTGACTGTAAGCACAGGAGTTTGGGCACTTAGGCACCAAAGAGGTGACTAAGGGTAGCATTCCCCATGTAACTCTTTTCTATCAAATTGTCTCATGCAATGGCCACTGGACCACGGGAGAGGGGACTAGACAGTGCACAATGACCAGCAGCTCAGAGGCAAGAATTCTTAGGCTTAAATACCATTTATCTACAAAGCCCTTGGATGTGGTTACTTACACATGAAATTGTTAAGAAGCAAATAGACTAGAAACATGCTGTCCTGAGGGAAACGTGTTGAAAACACAAAACCACAAAACCACAAACCCAGCGGGACCAGCCTAGGCCTCCTCAACCTCTAAGACAGTACTTCTTAACTTGGCTACACATTGGAATCACCTGAGGAGTTTTAAAAATTACTGCTCCACTGGGGTCCTTGTGGCAAGATAACCTCAAAGAAGAGCTAAGTTGGAAACTTATATTTCCTGATTTCAAAACTTACTATAAAGTTACAGCAATCAAGACGGTGTGGTATTAGTGATGAAAGGAAGAGAATGATGAGGTCAGAAACAGGCCCTACCTACATATATATAGCCACTTAATTTTTGACAAAAATTCCAGTGCAATTCAATGGAGGGAAGAAAGCTTTTCAATGAAGGAGGATGAATTAACTTTTTAAAAAATAAACCTTTATTCCTGTCTCACACACATACAAAAAATTTACTTGAGATAGGTAATAGACCTAAATCTGAGCACTAAAACTATAAAGCTTTTAAAAGAAACATAGAGGATAGTCTCATGATCTTAGGACAGGCAGAGATTTCTTAGAACACAAAAAGGCTGGCTGGGCACAGTGGCTCACGCCTGTAGTGCCAGCACTTTGGGAGGCCAAGGCAGGCAGATCATGAGGTCAAGAGATCGAGACCATCCTGGCCAACATGGTGAAACTCCATCTCTACTAAAAACACAAAAATTAGCTAGACATGGTGACATGCACCTGTAGTATCAGCTACTTGGGAGGCTGAGACAGGAGAATCGCTTGAACTCAGGAGGCACAGGTTGCAGTGAGCCAAGATCATGCCACTGCACTCCAGCCTGGCAAAGACCGAGACTTTATCTCAAAACAAACAAAACAAACAAATAACACACACACACGCGCGCACGTGCGCGCGCACACACACACACACACACACACACACACAAAGGCTGTAAGTATAGAACAGGCGTCCCCAAACTACGGGCCCGCGGGCCACATGCGGCCCCCTGAGGCCATTTATCCGGCCCCCTGCCGCACTTCAGGAAGGGGCACCTCTTTCATTGGTGGTCAGTGAGAGGAGCACAGTATGTGGTGGCCCTCCAACAGTCTGAGAGACAGTGAACTGGCCCCCTGTGTAAAAAGTTTGAGGATGCCTGGTATAGAAGAAAAAAACACTAATAAATTTTACTCCATAATAATTAAAAACTTCTGGGAACTCTGTCTCTCATCATGAGGTAGTAACAGGATGCAGAATTACCATTTCACCATGAAAAAGGAAACAGCCGGGCGCGGTGGCTCAAGCCTGTAATCCCAGCACTTTGGGAGGCCGAGGCGGGTGGATCACAAGGTCGAGAGATCGAGACCATCCTGGTCAACATGGTGAAACCCCGTCTCTACTAAAAATACAAAAAAATTAGCTGGGCATGGTGGCACGTGCCTGTAATCCCAGCTACTCAGGAGGCTGAGGCAGGAGAATTGCCTGAGCCCAGGAGGCGGAGGTTGCGGTGAGCCGAGATCGCGCCATTGCACTCCAGCCTGGGTAACAAGAGCGAAACTCCATCTCAAAAAAAAAAAAAAAAGAAAAAAAGAAAAAAAATAGAAAAAGGAAACAAACCAGAAAACTGGAAAATATACAGAAAATAACAATTTTCAGACATTGGACAAAGGGCAATTATTTTAAAATATAAGAATTACTTCACATATTTCTCATGAGAAACTATGTAAGCCAGGAAACTACGGAATAACACATTTTAAAGTGCTGGGAAGGAGGCGAATCCTATAAATGTAGAATTCCATACCCACAGAAAATTTATTTCAGAATTTAAGGTAAAATATAGACTTTTTCAGATCAACAAGAACAGAGAGGTTTCACTGACAGCAGAAGTGCACTGAAATAATTTTTTTTTTTTTTTTTTTTTATGGAGTCTCGCTCTGTCACCCAGCCTGGAGTGCAGTGGCACGATCTTGACTCTCTACAATCTCTACCTTCTGGGTTCAAGTGATTCTCCTGTGTCAGCCTCCCAAGTAGGTGGGATTACAGGCACACACCACCACACCCAACTAATTTTTGTATTTTTAGTAGAGACAGGGTTTCGTGATGTTGGCCAAGCTGGTCTCAAGTGATCCACCTGCCTCAGCCTCCCAAAGTGCTGAGATTACAGGTGTGAGCCATCATGCCCAGCCAAACTTTTACATTTTTAGTAGAGACGGGGCTTCAGCATGTAGGCCAGGCTGGTCTTGAACTCCTGACCTCAACTCATCTACCCATCTCGGCCTCTCAAAGTGCTGGTATTACAGACATAAGCCATGTGCCCAGCCTAAAACTAATAATAAAGAAACTTCACTATGAAAAAGAAAATTGACAACAGATGGAAACTCGGATCTATACATGGGAATGAAGAGTACTGAAAATGTTAAATACATGGAAAAATATAAAAAGCATTTTGTTTTCAAAATAAGAACTAAAGCAAAAACAACACTACTGTATTATGGGCTAACAAAATACACATGTGGAAGTATAATATAAGCAACAATAAGCACAGGAATGGAAAGGAAATAGAGGCATATAATAACCACACATTACATGTCAAGTGGCGTAAATTTATTTGAAAGTAGACTGTGATAACTTGAAGACACATATAGAAAACCTTAGGTCAACCACTAAAAAAGAGGTACACATAGTAAGTTAACTAGTAGAGATTAAATAAAATACTAATAAAATACTTAACTATGCCAAAAGAAGCCAAACAAACAGAAAAACAGAGCAGATGGGACAAACAGAAAACAAACAGCAAAATGGTAGGTTTAAACTCAACTCTACTGACAAATACATTAAATGTGAATGGTCTAAACAATTCAGTTAAATCAGAATAGACTAAAATGCAAGGCCCAACTATATGCTGTCTACAAAAAATAAAAATACACTTTGAAAATAAAAAAGCAGATAAGTTAAAGCCAAAAGGATGGAAAAAATTTACCATGCAAGCATTAAGCACAAGAAAGCCAGAGTGGCTTTATCAATATCAGATAAAAGAGAATTCAGGAATAATGAATTTGAAGACATTAACATTTCTCTGCACCAGATTGAGATGACTCTCCCCGTCGTCAGATCGTCAAGTACAGTCCAGATTGCATCATAATTGTGGTTTCCAACCCAGTGGACATTCTTACATATGTTACCTGGAAACTGAGTGGATTACCCAAACACCGTGTGATTGGAAGTGGATGTAATCTGGATTCCGCAAGATTTCGCTACCTTATGGCTGAAAAACTTGGCATTCATCCCAGCAGCTGCCATGGATGGATTTTGGGGGAACATGGCGACTCAAGTGTGGCTGTGTGGAGTGGTGTGAATGTGGCAGGTGTTTCTCTTTAGGAATTGAATCCAGAAATGGGAACTGACAATGACAGTGAAAATTGGAAGGAAGTGCATAAGATGGTGGTTGAAAGTGCCTATGAAGTCATCAAGCTAAAAGGATATACCAACTGGGCTACTGGATTAACTGTGGCTGATGTTATTGAATCCACGTTGAAAAATCTATCCAGGATTCATCCCGTGTCAACAATGGTAAAGGGGATGTATGGCATCGAGAATGAAGTCTTCCTGAGCCTTCCGTGTATCCTCAATGCCCGGGGATTAACCAGCGTTATCAACCAGAAGCTCAAGGATGCTGAGGTTGCTCAGCTCAAGAAAAGTGCAGATACCCTGTGGGACATCCAGAAGGACCTAAAAGACCTGTGACTACTGAGCCCTAGGCTGTAGAAGTTTAAAAACTATAATGTGATTAACTCTGAGCCTTTAGTTTTCATCCATGTACATGAATCACAGTTTGCTCTGATGTTCTTCAATATGTGAATTTGGGCTCACAGAATTAAAGCCTATGCTTGGTTTAATGCTTGCAATACGAGTTCTTGAACAAATAAAATTAACTATTGTAGTGTGAAAAAAAAAAAGAGAGAGAGAGAGAATTCAGAGCAAGGAATGTTATCAGAGATAAAGAGAAAATGTTCTAATTGATAAGGAGTCTAAGGCAGAAGATTGCTTGAACCCAGGAGGCGGAGGTTGTGGTGATCCAAGATCATGCCACTGCACTTCAGCCTGTGTAACAGAGCGAAACTCCATCTCTCAAAAGAAAGACGAGAGAGAGAGAAAGAGAGAGAGAGAGAGAGAGAAGGAAGGAAGGAAAGAAGGAGGGAGGGAGGGAGGAAAAGAAGGAAGAAAGAAAGGAAGGAAGGAAGGAAAGAAAGAAACTAGAAAAGAACAAATTAAATATAAAGTAAGCAGAAGAAAAGAATAAGCGAAAACCGATGAACTTATAAAGTCCACAAACAATAGAGCTAATCAATGAAACCAAAACTTGTTTCTTTGAAAAGAGCAACAAAATAGATGAATCTCTAACTTGACCGAACATGAAAAGAAGACAGAAATTACCACTATCAGGAATGAAAGAGGAAATATCATTGCAGACATTGAAAGATTAATAAGAGAATATCATGAAAAACTTCATACCAATAAACTGACAACCTTTAAATGATAATTTTCTTAAAAAATACAAATTATCAGAACTCACTCAAGAAACAGAATACCTGAATAGCACTATATCCATTTTAAAAATTGAATTATTAATATAAAACCCTCTGATAAAGAAAACGTTATGCCCAAGTGACTTAACTGGTGAATTCTAACAAACCTTAAGAAATAAGTAATATCTACCAAAATCTGTATTAGGGTTCTCTAGGGAAAAAAAAAAAGAAATAAATAATATCAATTCTACACAAGCTATTTTAGAAAATAGAGAAGGAGGTGGAGATTGCAGTGACCTGAGATCATGCCTGCACTCCAGCCTGGGCGACAGAGTAAGACTCTGTCTCAAAAACAAAACAAAACAAAACAAAACAAAAAAAGTGATACGTGCCTTCTGTGGGGAGTATGAAAAACGCTGAAAAATTAAGAAGAAAATGAAAATTCCCTAAAATCCCATTGCCCAATTGCTGTTGAACTCTTCCTTCTTGGAGTTCCTGCTTTCCACACAGTTCATTCCACTGTTTTGGCCCCAACAGCATAAAGGGCATGAAGACAGAGGAAGGTACAAAAAGGAGTCAGGTGGGGCCCTTGGGAATGGAGGGATACACATGTGGAATTCCCCCTCAGCGGGCAGCTGAAATGCAGTTCTAAACCAGGAGAGAGTTCAGTTACATCCCGAAGTGGGGAGGAAGAAGAATCACAGAAATGTCAGGGAAAACTTCAGAGAGAAGAGGAGGCAAGGCCATGAAGAGGTAAGCCACAGACTGGGAGGAAATATTTACAATACACATATCTGACAAATGACTTGAATTCAGGAGCTGGCCAGAGACGAAAGCAGACCAAGGAGAAAGAAGTCTCATATAATACAGCCAGTTTATACTTGCTCCAAAAGGATATGGCATAGAGAGAACTCATTTTCACAGCTGGGTGCCATGGCTCACATTCACACCCATATTTCCAACACTTTGGGAGGCTGAGGCAGGAGGATCGCTTAAGAACAAGAGTTGAAGACCAGCCTGGGCAACATAGGAAGACCCCGTCCACAAACAAATTTAAAAATTAGGCCAGTTGTGATGGCTCATGCCTGTAATCCCAGAACTCTGGGAGGCTGAGATGCAAGAATTGCTTGGGCCCAGGAGTTTGAGACCAGCCTAGGCAACACAGGAAGATTAGCTGGGCATGGGGCTTATACCTGTAGTCCCAGCTATTTGGGAGGCTGACATGGAAGGATCATTTGAGCCCAGGAAGTCGACTTCCTTAGCCAAATCTATTTTCCCGACTCACAGGAGGAAAGCAGATTGCTTGTATGAATTGGGGAACGGGGATCCCATCTGGATTTGTGAAGGGATCTACTTCGCAGAAACGAGTAGAGGCAGGGTGGGGGCACATTGCGTCAGAAGAATGCAGACTTTTTTTCTTGTTCAGATAACAGCAATACAAAGTAAGAGGTGCTATGATGGAGTCATAAAAGCATATCGTGGAAGATGCCAAGACTGGCTGAAAGGAGAGAGGGGAAGCTTTTCCACAGTGCCTGGCATAAAATACATGGACAATATCTGCTTAATGAATTAAAAGGCAGGGACATCTGAATCTCAGCTAGATGCTAGATGGGCCTGCCTCCATAGAGGAGCAGAGAGGGGTTTTCTATGAGAGCAAAGGCCCAGCTATGTCAATTCCCAGATGTGTCTAGGGAATGACAAAACCTGGGTTGTGCCCCGGCAATAGACTGGAAACATGGTGTGGGGATCTTGGACAGAATTTGGTAGACAGTAGATCTCCAGAAATGCCAAAGGGTAGGAAACAGAGATCTAATGATCTACTCACTTCTGTACTTTTATTATTATTACTATTTTTTTTTTTAGATGGAGTCTTGCTCTGTCACCCAGGCTGGAGTGCTGGAGTGCAGTGGCATGATGTCAGATCACTGCAACCTCCGCCTCCTGGGTTCAAGCGATTATCCTGCCTCAGCCTCCAGAGTAGCTGGGATTACAGGCACACGTCACCACATCCAGCTGATTTTTTATATTTTTGGTAGAGAATGGGTTCCACCATTTTGGCCAGTCTGGTCTTGAACTCCTGACCTCAAGTGATCCACCTGCCTAGGCCTCCCAAAGTGCTGAGATTACAGGCATGGGCCACCGCGCCCAGCCTCACATCTATACTTTCTAATGCAATGTTAGTGGTCTTGTGGATGACAGCTTCTACATAAGCAAGATGGATTTGGAAAATATGTTAGTTCAGTTGGAAGATGAAAAAGTAGTAATAGGGAGTAGTAATGAAGTAGAAAATGGGTCGACCAGAAAATAAAATTTGCAATCTACTTTGTTCCTTTAACAAGTAATTAAGGGTACATCAGTCTCATCTCAAAACAACACAAAACACACAAGCTAACACTCTCACTTCCTCCTGCAGGTTTTTCCTGTTGTCCTCACCACTTGCCTTCACAGCCAAGTTTCTATAAACTTTCTCCTGCCTGCCTTCCCCTCTGCAATACACACAAGTCTAGCTTTTGTCCTCACCACTCCAGCCTACATGCAAGACAAGCTCCCTGCAGGTAGCGTCCTTCAGACACTTTCCAATTCTTACCTTGCTGGACTTTTACTTTCAGCACCAGACAGAGCTGATCATTTCAGAGCTCTTTCTTCACCTCTTCTTACCTCTATCTTTTACATACCTGTGTGCCTGGGCTTTTTTCCCCTTATCTATTTCAGCTCCTTCCACCACTAGCTGTGCACTAACGACTCCCAGATCTCTAACACCTCAGCCATCTCTCCTGACTCTGCACGTTTACCCAACTGCCTCCTAGATATCCTCACTTAGTGGTCCCAGGGGCAGCTCAAACTCCACAGGCCCCAAATGGAAATGATCCAGCTGTGTGACTTTGAGCACGTTAGTTAACTCACTCCCTGAACTATAAAATGAGGGCATTACTAATAGCCACCTCACCCAGAAGGCTGTTATGAAGATTAAACGAAAACAGCACAGAACAGCACGTCAGTAGACCTTGGCACATGGTAAGCAATCTGCAAGTGTTAACCATCATTCAGTCTTCCCTCAAACCCATACCTTCTTCCCCATAAATCCCCCAAGTTTACTCATAAACCCCCCACCCATGTCATTCATCAAGTCAGACTCTGAGCATCATCCTTGACGCCCCCTTTCCTTTTTTTTTTTTTTTTTTTTTTGAGACAGAGTCTTGCTCTGTCGCCAGGCTGGAGTGCAGTGGCGCCATCTTGGCTCACTGCAATCTCCACCTCCCGGGTTCAAGCGACTCTCCTGCCTCAGCCTCCCGAGTAGCTGGGACTCCAGGCACACACCACCACACCCAGCTAATTCCTGTATTTTTTAGTAGAGACAGGGTTTTACCATGTTGGCCAGGATGGTCTCGATTTCTTGACCTTGTGATCTGCCCGCCTCAGCCTCCCGAAGAGCTAAGATTACAGGCGTGAGCCACCGCCCCGTTTCTTAACCTCAGTCATTGTGCCTCAGCCCTTCCACTCCACTTCCTAACAGCTGTTTTTCCTTCTCCATCGCCGCCACTTTCAGCCCTCATTATCCCGGGGGGCTAGGGCCGTTCTTTCCCTGTCCACTCAGTACTTTTGCACCAACCTTCTGAAAGCACACTGCCTCCATCACTCCACCTTCCCCTTTCAGGGGCTCCCCTCTGCCTTAGGGGAGCAAAATCCAAACTCTGGAAGAGCAAAGGTTCTTTAGGATCTGGTCTCACTCTCCTGTCTCAGTCCACCTTGCTCCTAAGCTCCAGCTGGTCCTCCTTCAAGGGGAGGTGATGGTGCAGTCCTCATAAGGCTCTGTAGGCCTCTCCTCCCTCCAGATGTAGCTGGGGTGCCACTTCCTCTGCGAAACTTTCCTGGCCTTCTGGTCGGAGGCGCATCTTTCTTGTTTCCCAGGGCCTCTGCCCTAACACTAAGCATGCTTTGATAAGTATTTGCTCACTTGTCCTCTCCATTAAAGTGTGGTGTTTTCAGGCAAAACAATTATCTTTTATTTCTAAATCCCCAACGCCAGGCAGACAGTAGTACTCAAGGAAAGTGATCAGCATAAAGAGTTTTGGCCAAAAATGGAACAACCCGGTTTGAGGAATCAGCGTCAAAGTTAGTGAATCCACTCCTCTCGTGGCACAAGGCTGCACAGGGGTTCCTTAAGGCCTGCGTGGATATCCAGTGCCTGCCTGTCTTCCTCGGTGTTTTAGCTCGCGCAGAATTAATCCGCACAACTACAGCGGACACACAGCTGCACTGGCACTGGCAGAGCTTCCCCCCCCTCCGCCCCGAGCAGAGCGCACGAGGGCCTACAAAGGCACGCCCAACAGGCCGAGGTTAAATCCTGCGCCCTTTGTTTGCGGCAGCGGACAGCTAGCGGCTCCGTGCCCGCCCGGCCTGGTCGGGTGCAGGGCCGGTTAGGGCCGAACTGCCAGCAGAGACGCACCCGGGAGCGCCGCGTCTGGCGGAGCGTGCGTGAGCCAGGGCTTGCTCCGGGTCACCCTCGCAGCCCTGGGATCCCGCGCTTTGCGGCGCCCTTCGCCCGGGCCTGGCCTCCGTGCCAGGCCGTCTCCCCCGCCCGCGGCCGCCGCCGGCGGGAAAACGCCTGGCGTCCCGGCGTCACGCGCTAGCAGCCAGGCACGCGGGGCGGCGCGGGGCGGGATAGGGCGGAACAGGGCGGGACAAGGCGGGGAGGGGGCGGGGCCAGCGCGGCGGGGCGGAGCGGACGTCGGGCACAGGAAGCGCCGGGAGGCCCGAGCTGTCCCAGGGTGCCCTGCGCGGCGTGGACTCGGGCCGCTGCCGCCATCCCGCTGGCGAGAGGGAGAGACAGGCCCGCCCGTTCGCCGGCCGGGCCAGTGCGTGAGGGCGCGGGGGGTCGTGTCAGCGAGACGCAGAGCGCAGCCGCCACCGCCAAACGGACATGTTGAAGCCCAGCGCCGCCGCCGCCTCCTTTTCCTCATCCTGCGAACGGGACTGAGAGGGGGCCCGCCACCTCTCCGCCTCTGCCTCGGCCTCCCGCCTCGCCGCTTCGGCCGCAGCCTCTTCCTGCCCGGGCCTCGGGCTCCGCCGCGCGTCGCCTCCCACCGCCACCAGGCCCGGCCGGTTTCCCGGCCTCGCTCCGCCGCGGCGCGAGGTCTATGTGACCGGCGGGCCCGGAGCAGCCGCCGCCGCCGCAGCGCGAACATGGACGCCGTCAACGCCTTCAACCAGGAGGTGAGGGGTGCTCGGGGCAGGGGGGTGCGGGGCCTGCTGTGGGAGCCGGGGCCCGATTCTCCCGCCGCCGGAGGTTTAAAGCTTTGGTCCGGGTGGGGACGCTTCCTGCCCCAGTTCCGGGGCGGTGGGGCCTGTGCGGAGCGGGGCCTGTGGCCCGGGAGAGGTCGAGGCGACCACGGGAACTGACCCCGCACCCCTCCCCCCACCGCCCGCCCCCGAGGGCGACCTCGGGCTTCCCCCCTCGTCCCCTTGCGGTTTCCCCCTGCTCAAGTCGGTGCCCCTTCCTCTAACTTAGCCTTTTTTGGGTCCGGGCGCCCTCGCTGTCTGCTCCGCGAGCCCCGTTGTCGGGTTCGCAGTGCCAGGAGCCCGCAAGGGGCTAAGAAAGAAGCGCGGGCGGGCGTGTGGGGTTGGGGGCGGGGGAACGGGAGCATCTGCCGGTAGTGGGGCTGGCGGAGCGGTGGCTTCAGCTCTCCTGTTGCTCAGGCCTTGGCGCGTCGACGGCTGGACTCTGATCCCAGGTCCGGGAGTTGGAGACGGTGTTCATCCCCCTTCTCCGGGATTCACGCACTTGGGAAATAGGGCTAATAAATGAAGAAGGGATGGCTCTTTATAATTTAAAGTCGTGAACATAACCCTCTTACAGGCTCTGTGGCTCCAACGTGACGCCTAAAAAGTTGAATGAAAGAGAAGAGTGTTCGCCCCGCCTTAGTCCACTAGAAAGCTGGCGTTGTCGTCCAGTTCCCTACCCTCGCACCCCCTCCCGGTGTAGTTAATCCTCGGCTCCCTTCTACGAGGACATTTACATGTGAAAACCTCCCCAAACCGGGAACAAAGCTGCCTGCAGCCTTAAAGTTCTCTAGTTGTTTCTCTCGTCTTTCCAGGTGTTGCTTTTGGAGTGTAGAGTTCATACATCCTATTTGTCAGAATCGATTTGGGAGGAGGAGACTTGACCATTGGAGATTTAAAATGAAGTTACAGAATGGGAACTATTGTCATGGGTTGAGTTGTATTGTCTTCTCTTTCCAAATACTAAAGATAACCAGCATTGAAAAATCAGATGTAATAGTTGGAGGTGTGTGGATATGGCGTTGAAAACGTGCTGCATCTCAGAGAGATTTTGTAGGTTTACTTGTTGCGGTAACTTTCCTTTAAATTTGCAGTGCCATAATATATGGACTCTCCGGTTACACGCAGTTGAGACAATTTATTGTTATAAATTATTCTAAAAATGACTTTCTTCAATTAATGGGTACGTACAATGCCCTAACTTTAGTAGTTGCAACTGTTACTGGACAGTGTCTTGTAAAAGTTCAGTAGTGATGATTTTCAAAACAATAAAAGTAATATGTCCTAGTTTTTGATCGCCAGGGAATTTGTGATAATGCTCCAGATATTTCAGGTTTGGAAGTTGATAGTTTTCTGAAGGTAAATTTAGTGGAATGTTGGCTCCAGGCTCCATGAGGGCAGGGAAGTTTCTGTTCTTTCCCCCTTCTTTCCCAATCAAAACAGGTGCCTTGCAAATAATTGTTGAATGAGAATTTAAACAAATGGCGTAACAATAGTTAAAAATTTTCAAACACGTTTTTTTTCTCCCAACAATGAATGTGTATTTTTAAAATTTATTTCAGAATCGGAAGAATGAATGTTTTTGATGAAAGAAGAGGAGGATTTTTAGTTTATTCTTAAGATCAGAAGTGTTCTGATTCAGGCATTATGGAAGTTGACATCAGGCACATTATTAAGCAAAGTATTTTCTGTTAATCCTGAAAAGGCATCATCAGTAATTTTTTACTTTGGAAAACCAAAGTTACAAATAGTATTGACTCCTTGAAAAGGGGAAATGGTATTTGACCTTTTTAAATGTGCAAAATAAGCATTTTCTTATCATTGTTCATTTTACAGTTCATTTCAATTCTATTCCTAGTCTTTATGAACTACAAAGAATGCCAGCTCTCTTCTGCTAAATTAAAACTTCTGGAGAAATTAATCTGATTTTAAAATTAATCTTCTTATGCCTACTTGATTTGTAGTGCTTCTCAACTATTTCTCCCCATTCATGAAATGTTTTACATTTGTTCCCCATGATCTTGAATCTCTCAGATCTAATCTTCACTTAGCAAACTTTTGAGTGCCTGCTCACCTTCACGGCTATGTCTTGAATACTGCAGGCTACCAAGTATCTCAGTCACCTAAAGGTCTAATCTAACAGAGGACATAAGACTTAGACAAATAATTTAAATATGCAGTAGAACAGCTTCCTTTGGGATCCTTCGATTGCAGTGTGGCATAGCCATTGGAGATTCAGCGAAGGCTTGGGAAGAGAAGGTGTTATCAGTTTTAGGATTTCAGAAGATATAGGAAGCAGTGATTGAAGGGCAATAGTGCTGAAAAGGGAGGATTCTGAAGGCTGCTGGAAAGTAAGGATGGTTAAGTAGTTTGGGCTTGACAAGTTTCATGTTTGCCTAATCTGTTTGAACTTCATATTTAGGCTCTGAGTAAACATTGACGGTTTTAAGCAGTGGGATAATATAATCAAAACTGTTTGGTTCATAGTGGTATGTGTTGTAGGAGGCAGAGACTTGGTAGGAAAGATAAGTAAAACCTGAACTTGGCAAATGTATAGTGGGCATGGAGAAGAGGGAAAGGATGTGGGCCAGAGGAATCCCTGGACCCTGGCATCTGATGAGTTTATAAGCACCTTTTGTCCCCACATCCTAAGGGCTGAGAGAGTGGTGATACCCTTAACATAAATCATCAAAAGCCTGCTTAGTAGAGAAGAAAATGTGTTTGATTTTTGAACAGGTCGAGTTTGAGTTAATTGTGGAACAATCGTGAAAATTTTTGGCAAGCAGTTGGGCTCGTAAGACTTCCAAGTTGGAAGCAACTAAAAGATAGAGGGAGACATCCTGGAGTTCAGATGGGAAAGGTGGGAGGAAATCGAAAGGGGGAGAAAAAGGAATTAGTGTAACACCAGTAGTGGCCTGTCAGATACTTTATATATACACACATACCTAATTTAATAGATTTGCATTCCCACAACTCTGCACAGACGTCTAATTACAGATGAGGAAACTGATTTTCCAAGAAATTATAATAAATGCTAATTTCCCCAAGGGCATACTAGTTAATGGCAGAACTGGGATTTGAATAAGGATCTATCTCTCCAATTTAATTGCTGCCCGAAGATAATGTTTTGTGTAGTATGAGGGGACTTGGCCACTGAAATTTTGGGGGATAAAAGGATTTGAAGTTTAGGGTTGAATGGTGATGGGAGATAAGGAAATAAGAGATAGCTGGTATAAAGTAGTCTTTAGAGGTTTGATTTTAAGGTATTAGAGGGAAACGTTGCTTAGGAATGGGAGAAGGAAGGGCAGTTAACAATGTACTAGGCACTGGTGGTAGGCTGTACGTTTGTTTATATAAGGTTTTAGCTTTAGTTAGTAGTGTTGAATCCCTAGTCTTTTAGATGGGAGTAGAGGGTTTTAGCATTTTCAAGGAAGGGAATATAGAAAAGCATAGTCTACCAACAAGAGGGGATGGCTAACTTGAAGCAGAATTATGAATAAGAGAAATGGGACAAATCAGAAGCACAGGTAAAAGACATCCATCGCTGACCCAGAAGGAAAGGAAGATAAGAAAGATGAGGTTATTAAAGATACACATTTAACAGAATATTTGTTGAATTTTTATGGCAAGACATTGTATTACGTGTTGTGAAAGGTGAAAAGATGAGTTAAAAAGAGAGTTATCAATTATGGCTAATACTTAATTGTGTCTGTGTGTTGTTCATACATTTCTGAATATGAAGATTTTGTTAAAGTTTGTGGAGTATGGAATATAATTTTTTTTTTTTCTCCTCCAGAGACAGAGTCTCACTCTTGTCAACAGGCTGAAGTGCAGAGTTACAGTATCAGCTCTCTGCAACCTTTGCCTCCCAGTTCAAGCGATCCTGCCTCAGCCTCCCAAGTAGCAGGGACTACAGTCGCTTGCCACTATGCCCAGCGAATTTTTTGTGTTTTTAGTAGAGACGGGGTTTCACCTTGTTTGCCAGGATGGTCTCAATCTCTTGACCTCCTGATCTGCCTGCTTCGGCCTCCCAAAGTGCTGGGATTACCGGCCGGATTGTATATTTTAACCCATTGATTGTATTTTTAGTCTTTAATCCATTTTCCCTAAATCCTGAAGAATTATATCTTACCTCTCCCACTTTTTTGCATCATCTGCAATTTTAAGACACTAAAAGAACAAAAATACGCCAGGGGCGGTGGCCTGTAATCCCAGCACGTTGGGAGGCCGAGGTGGGTGGATCACAAGGTCAGTAGTTTGAGACCAGCCTGGCCAACATGGTGAAACCCCGTCTCTACTAAAAATACAAAAAAATTAGCTGGGCATAATGGCAGCAGGTGTCTGTAATCCCAGCTACTTGGAGGCTGAGGCAGGAGAATCGCTTGAACCTGGGAAACAGGTTGCAGTGTGCCACTGCTCTCCAGCCCGGGCAACAGTGCGAGACTCAAAAAAAAAAAAAAAAAAAAAAAAAAAACCACAAATAGTGCAGAGAAAATAAAACAGTAAGAAGAATATACAGTCATTACTATTTTGTGTTTTTAATTTAAAAATAAAATATAAAGTCTTTCTTTTATCCTCCAGCCCCAACCCTCCTCCCACTTGCAGGAGAGGCAGTCAGGTAATTTAGTATTAATCTCTGTGGTCCATAAACAATGTATAATCTGTTTGATACTGGAGTATAGTGGTGCCAGCACGGCTTACTACAGGTTTGACCTGCCTTTTTTTTTTTTTTGCTTAAATATTATTAATACTGTCTATTAAGATTTAGTTAATATTTACTGACAGACTACAATGAACTTTTCAAACATGTCTCCCTGTGCACATGTATAGTAATTTCTGTAGGACAGCTGTTCTCAAACTTTCTGGTTTTAGACCCATTTATATATTTGCTTTTTGAGACAGGGTCTGGCTCTGGGCCAGACTGGAGGGCAGTG